TGGGCCAGCGGGGCTTAACTCCTTCCTGTCGGGAAGGCGGCTGGGGCTTCCTGGTGCCTCACCCAGAGATCCCAGGGCCCCACTTGGGTCCACCTCCCGCCAGGGCAAAGTCCATGCTTACCCTTAAACCAGTTGCCCCCCCCGCCCACCGACCCCCCCCCTTTCCATGTGCTTGTAGGCAGTAAGGGCTGGAGAGGGTCCAGCTCTGGACTCTTGCACCCAGGGCTGCAGCTGGGCCTTTCAGGCACCTAAGTTGAGGACTGGCAGAGGAAAGTGGAAGCAGGCAGTTGGTTGTGTGAATGCCTACGAGTGTAAGAGGGGCCAGAGCTGAAACCTTCCTCACCCCTAGCGCTGCTACTCTACACTGCCCTCCAAGCCCCAGTGGAAGGTCCCCTCTTCATCCATACTTTGGGTGCACACACAAAAACACACACCCCCACACAGCACAAGTGGTCCCGGTGCTGCCGGGCCTGTGTCCACAGGATACGCCTCAGACACAGCTGCAGGACTGCCTGCTCCGTGGGGTGTCCATCTGGCCAATGTGAGGGAAAGGCCTTCGGGAAGAGATGCTGGCAGAGAGGTGCCCTCCCCCTCTCCCTCCCCTCTGTGTCTCTGTGTGTGTGTGTGTGTGTGTGTGTGTGTGTGAGAGAGAGAGAGAGAGAGAGAGGGAGAGAGAGAGGAATGAGCCAGAATAGAACATTCTTTCTCACACACTTTGTCATGGCTTCTGTGTGAACTTCAGGACCCAGGTCTTCTTTCGAAAGCGCATCCCATTTCTATATGCTTCTGATGGGAAAAGGGAATTGTCAAAGAGGCTGTGGTCTCCATGCAATGCCTCTCCCCACCTCTGCCCCACAGGCTGTGAGCTGCGTTTTACCTGCAGTGGTAGAAAACAAATGGGAGCATCAATAGGGGAAACTGGTGCAGAGAGAGAGAGAGAGAGAGAGAAGGCAAGGATAAAGTAGGTTGCCCCGTTTAAGGGCACAGGGATGGCAGAAGCGCTCCAGAGCTCTTCACAGCTGAGAGAGGCCCCTTCTGACCCAGCCCACTTTGGCCCCACAGGAGTCAATGAGAAGCCCCGCTGGAAAGTCCAGAGCAGAGACGTGAGCGCCATGCTTCTCACCTGGGCTTCCCAGCCATCAGGAGGCGAACTGGGTGGGGTGGGGGTGGGGATCTCTGTTCCCCTGTGCCCAGTGGCTGCTGATGGCCCCTTTCCTCCAGGCTGGCCTCCGGTCATCTTCCCAGCTGCGTCAGAGGATTTGCGTGGTTCAACAAGGGCCTGTGTGACCAAGGGCTTCCTTTCTCTCCCCTGAATCTCCCATCATTCAACTTCTCAGGCTGACTGCTCTGGCTATTCCATGGGGGAATGTGGGTGGGGGGAGAGAAGCCACCCACCCCTCCTCTTCCTCCCCCTTGGGGCAGAGGTTGTACCTTTCCTCCTCTCCTGGAATTAGTTCTGACCCTTTCCTGCTTCGGTCAGCTTTCCCTTTCAGGTAGTCAGTGATGGAAATGAGATTTGCCCCCCTCCTCACCAAAAGAAGTGGCCATTCCAGTTGTGCTGTTGAGATTTCCAGACCCTTTGGGGCTGCCACAGAGATGGTAGGAAACGGCCCCATGGCTGACCCACTCGGGCTGCACACATCCTGCTCACGTGGGTCACACCGCAGATGGGGACTGAGTGCTCCTGACCAGTCTGGGGTGGGCGTGGCCCTTGGCAGGGCCAAAGAAACAGGGGCCACCAGATTGAGAGCTTGGCTTCTGGTCTTCCCAGATGAGGAGAGAGCAAGAGATAGGCGGTGAGGAGGAGGAGGAGGAGCAGAGGAAGGAGCCCCGAGCCCCCCATGTAGCCAAAGGGTCACTGCAGGGAGGCCGGGACTTCTAGCCCTCTCTGAAATTTCCACACAGGAAATGTTCTCAGCGTCATTCCAGGCCCAGAGGAGATGAGGAAGAGAAATCCCAACATTTATTTACTGGTGGCAGCCAGAGGGGTCAGCAAAGGACCCCCTCCCTCCCCACCCTCGCTCCCTCTCCATTTGACTTCCCTGCCCAGCTCTCCAGGCATGGACAGGTGGGCTTCTGTGCCCGGGTGGCCGGTACGTTTAGACGTGGGGGTTTCACAGGGAGAACTGGCATTTTGTCTGCCAGAATTCTGTCCCCAGAAGTGCAAAATAAAATAAAATAAACTTTGAAAATAATAATAATGATAAAAAGCAAAAAGTCAGCCCTTTTTTAATTTCACAATTTATTTATTTATTTATTTATTGCCCTACCTGCCGTCCAGTGTGTTAGAATATACCAGATGGGCGGGATATAAATCAAATAAATAAAATAAAATAAAATAAAATATCTCAACCAAGCTGTTCCCTCTCTCACTCTCCCACCCAGGGGGACCATCTGGTGTCCCCAAAGAGCCTGGGGGGGGGAGAATCATCCCTGAACCCCCTCTGCCTCTCTATCTCTTCCAGTGCCCTGATTTTATTTTATTTTGTGTTCCCATTCAAGGGAACACAAGAACCCTTAAAGATGTGTGTGTGTGTGTGGGGGGGGGTTAGGGTTCCACAAAACGGGCACCTGCATGCTCTGTGGGGGTTTGGGTGGTGACTATGATCAGGGGAGGGGGAGAAGGATGTTGAGACTACGGTAGGCTTTTTGGAGGGGTGTCGAGATGTGGCCCTCAAAGCCCCTTGAAGGGATTGCCCCTTCCGTTCTGGACCCCAGCATGAGTGAAGGCAGGTTCCTTAGCTTGGTCTGGGATGGGCCAAGGGCAGGGCCCCCGGCAGGTGGTGCCAGTCAGGAATGGGAGGGCTAAGAGGCCAGAGGAAGGGGCTCCCAGCCCCAACCGGAAGCGGAGTGGGGACCCTTCTGGCTTTGCTCCTTCTTCTCCCTGAGCCAGGAGGCTGCAGGACAGACCCTTGGCAACAGCTCTCCAACGGAACAGAAGGTTGGCTCGTTCTGATTCCACACCGTCAGCTTGAACCTTCCTAGTCATGGAGCAGGGGTGATGGATGGATGGATGGATGGATGGATGGATGGATGGATGGATGGATGGA